GACACCGTTGATATCAGCTGGTGGGTTGTAGGATTCTGGGAATATCTTATTTATTATAGAAGCGCATCCGCAACCCACCAGACCTCTTGTTGAGCCTGTGTGGGCAAATGTTGATGATTCACAGGCTACCATCAATTGCCAAGTTTGTAATCATGTAGTTCCGCTGCAAAACCGACACAAGCAGCTTGTAGTTCGCTGTCCGAATTGTACAGAAGCGACGGTAAGATAAACACGTACTTGAATCTTATTTCCTAAGCCTATAAAAGGGCCACCTGCGGGGAAGCAGTATGTGCGCTGTCCCTGCAATTGCCTACTGATTTGCAGTGCTTCAACAACTCGAGTGGGATGTCCTCGCCCGGAATGCCAAAAAGTCATCGTATTGTGTGAGGTAAGCTAATCCCTAAATCCGGTGGTATATACCTGCATTCGGATGTAGTCCGTTTACATGTACATCAACTATAGTTGTAGCCTTACGAAAAGTCATTTGAAGAGGAAGCAAAATATTTTCTAAATTGTTAACGGATTAAGGCGATTGAGTAATAATTGGTCTTAGTGTAATAACACATATCCATGGTTTTGTGAATACTGGAGCTTAAGCAGTGTCGGAATACCTAAAGCCGAACTGCGAACCGACCAATCGTCAGACTACGAACGTAATCTGCGACAGCGGCAGGACCCCCCTGCATGGCGTGCTGCTATGGCGTTAGTGGCATAGCAATATTTTACCGCAATATCCAAATGCAATGTGACGGCTTGATTCTCGTTTGCGATCCGTTGTCTAGAGGAGTTCAGATACTCAGTAACTGAGCTGATCGCCACTATGAACCCCAATCGCCTTGCTTTGTGGTTGGTTTCGCCTCTGAATTTCAATTAAAAAGCACGAGTGTGTACAAATTCACAGTGAAACTCACGGAGAAAATAGCATTGCAAAACAGACCCGTGCGGCGTTGGAGGGTATGCACAATGCAATTGAATCGAATATAAATAGTCATGCCATCGCACATACAATGAAGGAGGTATTTCACTGTACAGGTCTTACTAAAAATTGTGACTGAGGGTTGCGGGCAACACATTCACAGCCAGACAGTGAGATCTGCAGTACCTGTTAGATCGACCAAATTTTTGGTAAATTTTTGTCTTACTTGAATTCCATAACCCGCTACCATTTAATTTTGTCTATCTCGCTGTATGCATACAGGATCTGTGAGTATCTTGACCCGTGCCTCTGTAGTAGTGGCTATGCAAAATGACCGTGAAACATCTAACCAGTTCACGCTCCTCTTACGAGTACGGATATTTTTAGTCGCAAGCCATCATTCCACTATTGCGCTAGCCGACTCTGTCGTTCATATTCTACGGTAGCTTCGCAAATTGAATTACTGACCGCTTCTTGAGTACGAGCTAACGATGTCTTGTCATTTGGAACTCAAATCTATCGCTGTTGGATTTATTAAAATTGACCCATTTGTTCTATATGTGGCTTAGGGCAGTTTGTGCTTTCACGCAGTCCAGTTTTTCTTTATGATATCCTGAGTGCTTTCCTACCAAACGTACCTAAATATCGCGTTCAATAAAATTCATTGTTGATTTAAACTTTTAGAACGACAATGGCACGGCATCTCGGACTGATCCGAGCGTCATTGCGAGAGATCGACTTGCAGGTGGTGGTACTTTTGGCCATCCACATAGTCTTCGCGTTGCATGTGGCAATTGTTGTTCTCCGTTCTCAGTAGCTAGCAACCCAGCTCAGGCGGACTCAAGGCATAATGCACTGATTTCGTGCTTGTCTGGAGGCACTTCCGCCGGGGCGGCTGGGCTCATTGCTGCTCGATGCCCACATTGTCGGAAAGTTACTTCAGTCGGACCCGCCTATGCGCGTGTGCGCTTAGTGGTATACGGCTTCTTCGCACTCATTTCCCTTATCGTCGCCATTGGCGTTACCTTGGGAACGGTGCAGACTGCAAAGGAGAAAAAAGCGTTATATTTTCTATGGTCTGGTAAGTTAACTCTGGTTCTACTCATCAGTAAAAGATGTTTAATTCATTCAACCACGCTCCTAAAACACGATAAGTTCGTTCTGTTTGTACACACTCACTTGTTAAATCCTTGGTCTTCTATCCGCAACCGTTTTTCTTCGCTCCGTAATATTCTCTTAGGCACTCGCCCCAGCTTGTTGCCAATAGCATTATGAGTAATACATGTCCCAACTTACTGCAAATTCTGATGGCTCGTCAAACTCTGAATTCGGGGTCTTTCGACATGAGCACTCATACAGGTGGATCCGCAAGTTTGTCTTACATGTGCACTGGACTCTAGCAGTTGATCTCTGCTGCAACTTATGATCCAAACAGTATAATTAGTATTAAACGGCAAAGCGAAGGCCTCACTTTGTTGATTGGATTCCCGTCAACAGTGCGCATGCTATGGAGCTCAGTGTTCAATGATTATTCGTTTATCCACATTGTCACCTACCAAGTACATCCTTAATCAACTGAAGGACGAATTTTATGATAAATTCGCAGAACTCATCCAGCTGAGTCAGAGTCTCAATGTAGTTGTGCTTGCAGGCAATTTTGCTGCACAGGTTGGAGAGTTGAGCTAGTGAATTCCTGTTCAGCAAGTTTTTTTTTACTCTGCACGCTCAGCGAACAGATAACGGTGATCGATTTCAAATCTCTGCAGACCACCGGTTGTTTTTTAGTATTAGTTTGTACAATCATTAACAGTGCTATTTCGTCCACCGGTTTTGGTTGATGTCTTTTGGTTGCCCGTTTGGATGAATCGGAAGGAAAAAGACAGGAAAGTTTAAATTTATTCCGAGGAGAAAATGGAGAATTTCATTGGTCTGAGATTGCAAAGAAATCGAGAAGATGCAAGAACGCCACCGTTTACGACAACCATATCACTCAGTATCTACCACCGGTTGTTTCCATCCAGTACCAACTTCCGGCGGTTCTTGACAGTCGGCAGCACTCCAGTTCAGCGGATCAGCTGAGTAACCCTAACCACATTTCAGTAAGCTACCGTTGGCGTGGCTTAGCGAAAGCCACAGTTCCTGTTGAACTTCCTCTGTTTAGTCCGATCACACTCTTCTTTTAGGCACTTTGCCCTTCGACTCCCTGGTCGCCATGAAAATCCGCAAACTCATTTGCTGCATCATCTTAAGTCGAAAGCAAGACTGCTAATTCCAACGGACAACACGAACAAACAGTGTGGACGTCAATCAACAAGGCCAAAGTAATGTGACCAATCATGTCACGATTACTTCTGTTAGAGGACGATTATCCGCACCCAACACGACGACGAACCTCGTCATTACCCACCCGGTGTGTTGTGTCCAAATCCCGATTGATCACAATGTACACACAACAAGATATCACACGATGGTACACGAGGAGCACACGTACCTCAACACCACACTAATCGTCTAGCCCCACGAGTACGATCACAGCACAGATTGGACGCCACGAGCACTAGTAACCTCCCAGCTACGTAAGCAAGAACACAGTTAGTGCACATCGAACGTGTACTTGACACACAGGGAGCAAGTCAATTTACAAGTTTTACTCTGATGCTTATATGTGACTCAAAATAGCATCGATTATTGCAATAAAAAGATTGTGCCAATCAAGTACACCGTTAGCAAAGTTCAATTGGTCATAGGTCACGGATCAGACGGACGGAGTGAATATTTCTGTATGACGCAATATTATTGATTAATCTTCGCGGGATTAGTATTAATTCGAGATGCCCCTAATTGAAAATACTCGAAAAATAGGCAGTTTTAGGTAAAATGGTCTTTTTATCTAACACGGTGTTCCCATCAGACACGAGCAATACTTCTGAGACATCGGTGGTCAAATACAGAAAGTCGATTAGCATCCTCAACGCAGACGGGCCAGGTCTCGCAACCGTAAAGCGGAACGCTACGAACCGCAGCCACATACACCCTTCCCTTAAGGAATAGTCGGATGTCATGGCGGCGCCACATGTGTCGCAGGTTGGCGAAAGCTGCCTAGCATTCGCTATACGTGATGTGATCTCTACAACACCCCCACCAGTTGTGATCAAGCTCCCGAGGTACTTAAAGCCCTCGACTACTTCCAGCTGAACAATACAGAGGGTGGATGCAGGCACAGGCTCCTGCCAGTCTTGAACAAGCACTTTGCATTTGGACGACGCAAAGCACATTCCATACCTGGATACCTCGATCGCCAAGCGATTCAAAGCGTCTTAGACTGCCTGTGTGTTTTCACCCAGCAAGGCGATGTTATCGGCATATTCTAAGTCAAGAACTCTGTTCCCTAGGAGGAGTTTAACTCCACCGTTTGCTAGACCGGACAAAGCATTCGTCTATGACAAAGTTGAAAAGGAATGGGAATATAGGGCAACCTTGTCGAACTCTACTGTAGATGGCAAAGGGTGGCGAAAGCTGGCCATAGACCCTAACCCGACCTGAGGTATGACGATACAACTCTTTGAGGATCGACACAGGTACTCAGGTATTCCATTCCTTAACAAGCAGTTCCATAGCTCGGTCCTATCAACATAGTTAAAGGCCGCGCGGATGTCTAGGAATACATTGACCGTTGGTCTTTGATAAGCATCACGGTGCTCTAGCGACTGTCGGAGGGTGAAGATTTGATCTATGCATCCACGACCGGCGCGAAACCCAGCCTGCTCCTCACGTGTCTGCCCAATCACGCGCAGTGTACAATCGGTGGTGAATGAAGGACGCCAACAGCTTTGACGCTATGGGAATTAGACTTATACCCCTATGGTTGGCGCAGTCATTGAGCGGCCCACGAGGGGACCTGCTCACTGTTCCATACTTCAGAGAACAGAACTTGTGGTTCTCTAACAAGCTTAATTTCACCATCTTTAAATAAAGCAGGGGGAAGGCCATCAGAGCCCGGCGCTTTGTGACGTCCCAAGGCTTGGATCTCCTTTCGGATTTCCGCCTTGGGTGGGTCTGTTGAAACAGACCATGGGACGTGTGCCGGAGTAGTTGTGTGAAAAGTTGACGTTGGTCGCCAGCTAAACTGTGCATTGAATGCTCCGCCCAGCGTTCAAGACGTCGCTGTTGATTGCGAATAAGCGAGCCGTCAGCTTCATAGATCGTTTCGCTCACACCGAAAGTTTTCCTACCGGTGACTCGGATGAGATGGAACAGTTTACGGGAATTTCCCATGGCNAATGACGGACGCCAACAGCTTCGGCGCTAATGGCATTAGGTTTATACCCCTATGATTGGTGCAGTCATTGCACGGGCCCTTTTTGAAGATGGGGACAACAATCGATTCCCCCCACGAGGAGGGGGACTTGCTCAGTGTTCCAAACTTTAGTGAACAGGACTCGGAGTTCTCTAACAAGCTTTATTCCACCATTTTTAAATAGAGCAGGGGGAAGCCATCGGAGCCCAGCGCTTTGTGACGTCCCAAGGCTTGGATCTCCTGATGGATTTCCGCCTCAGAAGGTGGGTCTGTTGAGACAGATCATGGGACGTGTGCCGGAATAGCTATGTGACAAGCTGACGTTGGAGGCCAGCTAAACTGTGCCCTGAAATACTCCGCCCAGCGTGCAAGACGTCGCTGTTGATTGTGAATGAGCGAACCGTCAGCTTCACAGATCGTTTCGCTCACACCGAAGGCTTTCCTACCGGTGACCCGGATGAGATGAAACAGCTTACGGGAGTTTCCCATGGCGGTAGCACTTTCCATCTCTGACGCGCGTTGAGTCCACCAGATCTCGCGGTCTCTGTGTAAGCTTGCGTTGAGGTTACGACTCATGACGAGTCGTATTTCGTTATGGTCGCTGCCAGTCGGAATCGATCGGCGTGCGCCGAGAAGGCGCAGGGATTCCGCAGAAATCCAGGGTGTCGCAGCACTTCGTGTTAGACCACAACTAACTAAGCCAGCAGAATGTAGAGCATTCTTGATAAGCGACCAGTGCTGGTTAACGTCACCGGGTGGGGTTGGTTCTAGCTTTGGAGGTAGCGCGTTTTGGAAGACAGTTAGACAAGCTGGTTTGAACAGTTTATCAGTCTACCCGTCGTTGTGTCGTATGTTTGGAACGCCCACCGAAGCACATGGACAGTTCGGCGCACACTAAAGCGTGGTCGGATTCGAGGGGTGCTCCAGTACGATCGGCAGTCTTGTATACAACGCCGCCATTTGTGGCTTATAGGGATGTGGTCGATCTGCGTCCGTCTCTGACTCGAGGAGGGCGGACGCCAGGTGGCGTGCTGGCAGTTAGAGCGTCTGAAGTCCGTACTGGCGAGGAACAGGCGGTGGTCGGAAAAGAGAGCCAACAGCCGTTCCCCGTTTTCCGAGCGACAGGAATCTAGTCCGAAAGGACCTCCCAGAGGCGCCTCACTCGAGGTCAGCCGACCTAC